ATATGCCATCCCAAAATATGCCATCTTGGCATATTATTTTGAACTGTAGGCACTTGAGAACAGCAAATGCAGGGAGAGTCTTTCTCTGAACTTCCCTTATCTGCCTAAAGATAGATCTTCCAAAAGAAACTCAATTGCCATACATACTCTTTGGGAGTTGCATCAATCAGGGAAGACCAACTCTAATCATAGGAGAGGAGGCTAGAGGGTCTACACACCTGGACAAACTCTGTCATCTCCCATCCATTCGTCTTTCATTCCTAAAAGTAATTTACTTTTCCCTAAGGAGACTTCCATTTCCCCAAACTGTCCCCTACCTCAATTGAGATAATATTTAAGTTGGAATTCTAAGCCATCTTGGGGAGTTACAATTTCTTCCTGGATATTGACAAAAATTCTTTCTTTGCTTAACCACACCTTAGCCAGTCTCCAGAACTTTCCCCTTAGCCCACCTGTGCACTTCCTTGCAAAATCTAGTATTAGCAAGAATCCTGCTAAGCTATTTTAGCAAGTCTTCCATTCTCCACATCTGTTCACCCTCAATATCTCAGTGCCTCTTCTATCATCCCTCTGCCTTCAGCAATAAATCTTAATACTGGGGATGTGCCTGCAATCAATATACATGCCCTTGACTGGAATCGAACCTGGGACCCTTCAATCCGCAGACTGATGCTCTATCCACTGAGCCAAACTGGATTCGGCTATACTTTCTCTAAAGTATTTATTTTACCTCTTACATCTAGATCTGCCATCTACCTGGAACTGATTTTTGTATGTTATCAAATAAAGGTCAACAAATTTCCCACCACATGGATGTCCAGTTAAGCTGGCATTTACTGAATAGAAAATCCTTTCTTCATCAAACTACAATGTTGCCTTGGTCATAAGTCAGAATGCTTTGTATGTGTGGCTGTTTTTGGATGCTCTTTTCCATTGTTGAATTGGACTACTCTTACACCAATATCTATTATTTTAATTACTATAACTTTACTATAGGTCGTGGTATCTGATAGGATAAAATCTTCCAGCTTTATTTTCTTTCAAAATTGATTTGGCTATTCTTGGTCAGTTGTATTTCTGAATGAATTTTAAATAAGCCAGTCACCTACATTAAGAAAAAAACACACCTACTGAGATTTTGATTGGGTTTGCTTACAATATATGTATTAATCTGAGGAGACCCAGTATCTTTACAATAATGATCTTCAAACCCAAGAATATTTTTATTGCTTGCCTTCTAAATGAGTCAGGCAGCTTCCCATTTCTTCCTGTATCCTAAGATAGGTGAGGTACAAATACCCAACAAAGGACTTACAACCCCAGCATATGTACAGTATAGAACTCCTTCAAATAAATAAGAAAAAGATAACCCAATAAAAAAAATATGCAAAAAACACACACCCTTGAATTGGTTTCACAAAAGGACATAGAATGGGCTCATAAACACATAAAAAGACTCAATTCCCTTACCAGGAAAATGCATATTAAAGCCAAGAGGAGATATTGCTGATGCCACTGTAATAACATGGTTATAATTGAACAGGAAAGGAGGAGAGGGAAGACCAGAAAGACACATGCCCAATAAGGTCTGAATGATGTGGGAAGGTGTTTGTCGGTTAATCACACCTGGAAAGGAGTCAGAGGCTAGGATGGGCATGGCCACTGCAAGAGCACAAAATCTAAATATATAAACTTCTGGACAAAGAAGCCACTCTTCTTCTCTTGGCTACAGGGAGCTTAGCTCCTGTAATTCCTGTTACCCTGGCATGCTCTTCCGCATCCACATGTCTTGGCGCAGGGCTCTGCTGGCCTCCACACATGGACTAATGAACTTGAATTAACTTGGATAATGAACTATACTGGGTTGCAACATGGAACAGAAGCTCTGGACACTGACCCTGCTTCTGGCTCTGCTGAATCCACAGCTGCACTTTTTCCAAGACTGGCTTAAGAGGCAGGGGACTTTGGAACTTGAGAAATATAACTGCACGCAAATAGAGCCTTCTTCCACATCACATCCTCCCATGGGGGCTTCTAAAAGTTCTTATTTTAGCAGTGTTCCAAGAACCTCCACCTCCCTCCCTACCCAGATACTCTGGTAACACCACCAGAATGATAAAAAGAAAGACTGAAATGAGCAGGTGTTAGTGAGAATGTAGAGCAATTGGACCGCTCAAGCACTGCTGGCAATAGTATAAATTGGTAGAACCACACTGGAATAATGTTTGGCAGTATCTACAAAAGGTGAACATATGCATTGCCTAGGCCTCAGCAATTCCACTTCTAGGTATATACCCAACAGAAATATGTTCAACAAAATATATATACTAAAAGGTTCACAGTAGCTCTACTCACAAAAAATCTCAAATTGGAAACTACCAAAAGATGATCAATAGTAGAATGGATTTAAAAAATTTTCATGTATGCACATGAAATACTATGGAGAAATTAAAAAAATGCTCACATGACAATATACATGAATCTAACAAGTAAATAAAGCCAGAGACCAAAAATAAGTCAGACAAATAAGAGCATATACAAATGGAAATGCACAGGGTGTATCCTGTAAAAACAGGCAAAATTAATCTAAGTTAGTTATTGTAAATCTGCATGGTGGTTATCCCTGGGGTGGGAAGAAGTGACTGAAAGCAAGAGAGCTTCTGGGGTACTGGTGATGTTGTGTCTTGATCTAGGTGCTTGTTTTGGGGGGTGTTCATGTGAAAATTCAGCAACCTTTATGATTTGTGGACTTTCCTCTGAATATTAAGCTGCAATAAAAGTTAATGCATATAGCATAAAGCCAATAAATCCAATAACATGCTGAAAAACATTTTCTACAAGAAACAGGAAGAACTCATGCAAGTCAATTTTTAAGAAACTAGCATCCAACTAGAAAATGGGTCTGCATACAAAAAAAAAAAAGTTCAAACAAAGAGAGAAAAATGGCTCCAATTAATGCACAAAATGTAAATTAGAACAATGGAATGCTATTTTTTCCTAGCAAATTAGCGAAGATTAAAGAAAACCAATAAGGCTGTCACTGAGGATTTGTGTGAAACTAATATTCTTATTCTTAATGGAAACTTAAATTGATATAACCTTTCTTCATTCAGTCTTTAAAAATTACTTTTTTCACCCACTAGTTTCCCTTCTAGAAATTATTCTAAGGAAAACTCAGAGCTACAATTAAAGATGGATTTATGTCAGTGTTGATTATAATGGTGAGTATTTTGAAACAATATAATTTTCTCACAACGGAAAAATTGCTACATTATGATACATATACATGATGTGATGTTTTTGAAGAGTAATGAATAGAAATAGACAAGATAAATTTAAGTGAAAAAATACGTACAAAATTCTATGTGGTATGATATCTTTTGTGTTAAAAAATATCATAGACTTAAACATACACTTGCATGGAAAAAAGTCTGTAAGAACACATATTGTGGTGTTAATAATGGCCATCTTTGGTAGGATAATGGATGATTTCAATTTTGTGGCTTCTTTGCTACAATGAAATGTTCCTTGAACATTTGTTATTATTACATTCTGAAGTCGAAGAAAATAATAGGGTAAAACAATAACATCCACCCAGTTTCCTTAATTCTAGAAATCTAAGCAACCTAGATTTATATCTCTCCTTTAGCTCTCACATTTAATTTGAAATTTTATCTTGGAAGTACCTGTCCAAGCCATTATAACATTTTATTACTTCTTTCATTTCCAAAACGCAGGCACTTGTCTTTCCTAGAGAGCACTTCAAATGCAGGTTCTTCATTTTGGTAAAATAGCCCTATCCTCCACTTCTTCTCCATTCTAGCCATATCAGAGCACTTTATATAGTGCCCCTCCCACACTCAAGCCCCTGAAATACCCACACCAAGTACTTCCACTCCTCCCAACCTGGGCATACTCTGCTCTCTCTCCCTGTAAAGCATTCTCTCCCTTGTCCTTCTAACCCAATTCACAGTTCAGGATTGACCTCTGATACCTTTTACTGGCCGTAGGTAGCTTCTCTGAGGTTACAAGAACTGATGACGGTTTCCAAATCAACCCCGCAATGACGGTTTGAACATATTTCAGTATTTATCATTTCTATATTGTTTCGTGCCTAGCTCTCCCATTGTACAGAACGGGCCATATCTCTTACATTTTCCCCCCCTCAAAATCTAGTTGAATGTGTGAACGCAATACATACATAGACGCAGCACATCTCTACAGGAGTGGTGTGCACCTGTGTGTGATAAATAAATGGCAACAAAAAGACTTGCTGTGTTGTGTGTGTGTGTGTGGGTGGGTTTTTTTTTTTTTTTTTTTTTCTCCCACCATTCAAGATGGCAGAGAACGTCTTAAAATAGTCCCCACACAAAAGCACTCACACCCGAGAGCCTTAAGTCAGAACTGGCTACACTTAGCGCCACAGCAAAGGACAAAAGAACTGATGAACCTAAAGGCTCCGAGGGCCCGCCCCTCGCCACCCGCGGCGGGTCCCACACGTATTTTAAACCACGTTCCAAAGCTGGCACCTGCTGCCTTCATTCCGAGGGCCACGCCTCGACCAGGCACAGGGACCTAAGGCACTTCGGGATCATGATCCCCCCCCCCAAAAAAAAACCAAGGACGTAAACCAGGGAGGCTCCACCGTACCGGTGAAGATCCAAGAAGGCACGGCCGGGCCCCGCCCCAGCCAGGGGCAGTCCCCCTGGGGCGTAGCCGCCCCGGGGCCAGGAACCGCCGGCGGCGCTCCCGTCCACCCGCCCCGCCTGGGAATTCCGGGCGGGCCCGAGGCTTTGGGCGTCTCGGGCTACACCTGTCCGGCTGCAGCGAACTCTAGGCCCAGACATCGCCGAGATTGGGTGGCCGAGGCCGGCAAGACAACCGTCACTCGATCCCTCCTCACCCCGGGATCGGTCCCTCGCCCGGCCACCTCGCCTTCGCCCTCGCTCTTCTCAAACAAAGGCAGGCAATCCACACACCCACCGCCATGTTCCCCTTACCTCAAAAACCACCTCTTCGTCAAACTCCGGTGTCATCCTTCTCCGCCATGCCACCCGACTCAGCACGATGGGAAATGAAGGCAGGGGGGGAGCCGGCGGCACCCGGGCAGCCGCTTCGCTCCGTCCCGCGTGTCCAGAAAACTACAACTCCCAGCATGCCTCTCATCTCTCCCCGCCCCCGTATTGGAGCAGAAGATTATCCCGTGGACGGGAGAGGCGGGAGCAAAAAGGAAGCTCGAGCCCTCTGATTGGAGGACGCTGTGGCTTTTGTCTGCCTGTTACTGGCTGCGGCTGGCAGGGGGCGCCAAGAGCACGGATTTTTTTTTTTTTTTTTTTTTTTTTTTTTTTTTTTTTTTTTTTTTTTTTTTTTTTTTTTTTTTTTTTTAAGCTGGAGACGGGCACGCGCCGTTGGAGGCGCGGCGAGCACTCGCTCGTGCCCGCAGCTGGCGGCTCGCGCCCGGGAGCGCCGCCGGGTCCCCGGAGTCCGCCGCCGCATCCTTTGTGAGGAGGACCCTCGAGTTTCGCTGCGGAGCAGCAGGGCGACATGTGGACGCCGCCGCGGGAGCTTTTTCTTCCTGCCTACCTTCTTGAAACAATGGACTGTGAGGGGAGCATGGATTGAGGGGAAGCGAGCCGCCCGCGGGAATCATGACTTCTGCCGCCGGTAAGTGACGGCGCTCGCGCGGTCCCTGGAAAGTTTGCAGGGAGCGCTTGGCTGCTCGGCTTGGGTGCTGGAGCCACTTTCTCCTTCGGGGTCCAGGTTCGTGGAGTCCCTTTTACACACTTTCTCTCCCCCCCTCTCCCGCCCCAGGACCGCGGCAAGTGCGGAGCCGGCGGCGTTTGCTGCCCCGTCTCCTCCCTTTTTTGTGGGGAGAGAGAGGGTGTTTGGAAATCCTGTCTCCCTTGGGACCTGCATTTAACAGAAGACCCAGTGGGGGGGGGGGAAAAAAAAAAAAGACCTTTGCTTGTCTCCTCAACGTTGAGCGACTTTGCCTTTTTTGCGTGTGAAAACAGTTTTCGGTGACCATGTTAAGAAATCAGTTATTCTAAGCAAGGGCAAGGTTCCCAGAGGGTTGGACTCGGCGGCGGGGCTCAGTCGCTTTGGACCTGGTGTCGACTGGAAACCCTGACCCTCCTTGCTTAGCAGAGAAAGAGGTAGTTTATCCTGATGGTTTTTCCTGAGTTGAAGTGGCCATGGCAATTTTTTTTTTTTCTCATCTTCACTCCATTCAAAAAAAAAAAAAAAAAAAAAGGATTTCTTTTCTATTCCTACCTGGTTAGTATCAACAACAGCCTTCTTTTCGGTCTGCCTCCTGCAGTTCTTTCCCTTCATTCAAATGTCAAACTGTTTACCTTTGGGTTTTGAGCAATCCTGTACATATTTCCAAACATTTTTTTTTAAGCAACAGTTCTTTATATTCCACGATAATGACGAAAGTGGCTTTCGATCCAATTTATAAGCATAGAGGTTCATTTTTAAACCAGAGTTTTTATGTGTTCAGTATTAAGGTGTGTGTTTTTGTTTTTTTTTTCTTTCTTTGCTTCGTCCACGTTGAAAGAAATACACTTTTATTAGAAAGTTTAGAGGGAAGTAGTGTAAAGTTTTCCCTCCCAGTGACTTCTAGAATCACGTTGCTTTTCTTGGCGTTTGCTTTAAATTCCTGCAACATGAAACTGTCAAACAGCCCTCTTAAATGTTCTGACTTGTCTTATTTCTAAAGCCTGGATTTATTAAAGTGTTGCACTGCTAGGTGTAATAAGATTACAGGTAACTAGGCAAGAAGTTAGCCAATGGTAATAAGAAAGCAGAGAATGAAGAAGTATTCCTGAAGAAGTCGTGGCTCTTTCCTCTCTGATGTTATATGTATATGTAGGAGATACGTCGTCGTGTCATGTTATTTATAAACCCTTTTCCTTACCAAAGTGAGGCTTTCTACTTGAGGTGAATTATTTTCATCCTAAATTTCTGTGCCTCACCTTTGTTCAGTTTTCCTTTATTACTGAACTCTTACAATTAATTTAAAGTGGTTGGATTTAAATCCTTCCAGCTAATTTTAGCTCTCCCCTCTTTTAGAGTATCAAACACATTTAAAATATTTATACCTTACATGCATCAGTTTTCAATCCCAGTCCTAACAGTTTATAATGAAGAGATGCAGAAGCATTTTAATATGACATTTAAATATGTAAACCTGATGTAGGGCTCCGTCTGGAAGTTTATGATTCTTTGATTTGCATTCCCCTGGAATAATGCAAGCTATTTTTATATTTCATCAACTTTACAATTAAAGAAATCCACAGACATTTTTGTGGTGTTTTAAAAGAGGGACACTTCCTGTGTTTAGCTGAGTTAAGTTTTTAGCATGGTTTGCTGAGAAGCATTAGCTACTTTTTTGTCCACCCATCTGTTAAGATTTATTTTAATTCTTTTGCAGTCTAAATGGAAGAGAATTGGCATTTTATCTTCATCCTATTCTTATAAGATTATGTGTTTATCATTCTTACAAGCTGTTTATTCTTTTTGGAACAATAGCCAATTTGATTAAAAGTTTAGGAAAGTTATTTGCAATTGGGAAAGGGAATGTTTATTTATATCGAATCTAATCTGCGGTATTTGGCTTGGTTAGCTTAATTTAAGGAAATAAGAGAAATGTTGTAGAACATCTATGTTGTGTATCCTGGAGAAGAGCTTGCTTTGTTTTTCTGAAACATCTGTGAAAGAGTAGGCTCATCGTAAGATTTTAGAATTATTCTAATCAATATATTTAAAAGGAGACATAATTACAGGTGTATATTTTCTTTTTTTTAACTTGTACAGGTCATTGTCTCATTAACGCTTGTGCTTTCCTCTACGGCTGGTTCGAAAGCTAAGAAAGTGTGCACGTGAACCGCAGCCATCTGTGTGTAATAGATGACAGTATGTTTGTAATAGTGAAATGGTACGAGTGCTTTACGGTCTTACCTTACTTTTCCCTGGAGCTGAACAGCTGTATAAATAAAAGATTTGCTGCTTTACTCTGAAAAGCTTTGGGTCTGACTGTTGATACAGTATTAAGATGCAAAGGTGCTGGATCCATTTCCAAAGATCATGTACTTCAAGAATTTGACATTGGAGCAGACCACAATACAATGGCTTGTTATTTTTTTGAGTTGTATTTCCTTCATAACAGAGCCACACACACACACACACACACACAAAATGATAATAATAATGAAGGATTCCAGATATTTCTGTACCAGTGACTTAGTTGAATACTGTTCCTACTAATAATTAAGAACTTATTCAATAATCCTATTGAAGTTGATTCCTGCTACTTTTCAAAATATTATTCTACATTGAAATGGATATGGACTTAAAAAAAAAAAAAAAGAAATTTCCTGCTACTGAGATATATTAAAGAGAATGTGTATGTGGCAGTTCTGACCATTGGGGATATCGCAATGAGACAAAGTGCCTGCCCTTTCGGAGTTTGCTTTCTAGTGGTGAAAACAAAGTTATATTGATGAAAAATCAGGCAGGGCAAAAGGGCTGGAGAAAAGAAAGGTTCTCCTGAAGCAAATATCTCAGACGTTATAATCTCAGAATCATATAAACTTACAGTTCTGTCCAACTCTTCATTTGCAAGTAAGGAAACTGAGGCAGCCAGATATGCAGAAAGGCACATAATTAGGTTAATCAGCTCCCCGAGTTGTATTATTGACTTCCTCTAATACATGGTTAACACTGGTGAGCCAAATTTCCCAGCTGCTTACTTAATTCAATGAGTATGCATTGAGGGCATTAGGTGCATAATGCTGGGCTACATTTGTTGGCAATCAACCACAGCTCATATGTAAGTAATTTAATTTCTAGGTCACTAAGGAGAACAGAAATTATGTCTGATGGAAGCAGGCTTATGTAGAAGACACATTTAAAGGAAGGAGTAAAATTGGTACCAGAGATTAAAAAACAATTTAATTAGCCTGGCTGGCGTGCTCAGTTGATTGAGCATCATCCTGTGCTTCAGGTTGCTAGATGAGATATCTCTTCAGGTCACATACATGGGTTGCTGTTCAGTCCTGGGTCAGGGCACTTGTGGAGGGGCAACCAATCCATGTCCTCTCTTAAGCATGTCCTCTGGTGAGGATTTAAAAAAAATTAACTACAAATAAAAAATTGATCAGTTAAATTATCTAGAAGCTTCTGACAAAGCTGTATTTTCAGAAAGTGAAAGATTAATTTGACGAGATGGGCTCTCTTTTTTTTAAGTCGTGGTAAAATACATATAACACAAATTTGCTGTCTTTATCATTTTTAAGTGTGCAGTTCTGTAGTGTTAAGTACATTCACATTGCTGGGAAGTCAATCTCCAGAACCCTTTTCATCTTACAAACTGGATTTTTTTTTTTTTTCCATTTCTTCACAAATCCCAGAGGTAGGATACTTTAAGAATGGTTACCGAAATGAAATCAACATGACGGTCTGTCAGTTTTCATTAACTTGAGTAAGATGAGAGACTGGGAAGAGGCCTAGGGCATTCATGCTTTCTTTTAAGAATTGACTTAATAGACCAAGAGTTGAGTTTAAGAGATCATTATACCAAGCTGTAGCATTGGGCTTTGAAGGGCTTTCCAATTTTTTTCTTCCTATAAAGCAAACAAAACAAAAAAAACTAATAACATGCTTACTGGATAGATAACTGAAAATGTAAAAAGCTTTGGGAATTTGTATTAAGCTATTTTGAAAATATTTTATTATCTTCATTTGTCACAACATTATATTGAGTGAAAAGGCAACTGTTATGATCTTTTTAAAAAATATATATTTTATTGATTTTTTTACAGAGAGGATAGAGAGTTAGAAACATCGATGAGAGAGAAACTGCCTCCTGCACACCCCCTACTGGGGATGAGCCTGCAACCAAGATACATGCCCTTGACCGGAATCGAACCTGGGACCTCTCAGTCCGCAGGCGGACGCTCTATCCACTGAGCCAAACCGGCTTCGGCTTATGATCTTGATTGAACACATAATATTAGAGGTTTGGGAAATTCTT